CTCCCTCCGACTCCTCTTCATCCACTTATTCTTCCTCCCCCTCCTCCTCTTCCTCGTCCTCCTCCATTTACTCTTCTTCCTCCTCCCCCTCCAAATCCTCTTCATCCACTTATTCTTTCTTCTCTCATCTTCATCTTCCTCTTCCTTCTCCATTTACTCTTCCTCTCCCTCCTCCCATTTCTCTTCCTCTTCCTCCAACTTGTATTACTCTTCAGCTAAACCTTCCTGCTCCTCTTCCTCTTTCTCTTCTCCTTCTCCTACTCCAGCCCCTCTTGATCCACTTCTTCTTCCTCGCCCTCCTTTTTCTCTTCCTCCTCCTCCAACTTATATTTATCTTTTTCTCTTCCTCGTCTTCATTTTCCTCTTTCTCTACTACTCCTCCCACTCCAACTCCTCTTCATCCACTTATTCTTCCTCGCCCTCCTCCTCCTATTCCTCCTCCAACTCTTATTACTCTTCAATTACACCTTCCTGATCCACATCCTTTTTCTCTTTTCCTTTCCTCCTACTCCAGCCCCTCTTCATCTACTTCTTCTTCCTCGCCCTCCTCTTTCTCTTCCTCTTCCTCCTGCTCGAACTTATATTTCTCTTTTTGTATTCCTAGTGTTCGTTTTCCTCTTTCTCTACTCCTCCTCCCACTCCAACTCCTCTTCGTCCACTTCTTCTTCCTCGCCCTCCTTTTTCTCTTCCTCGTCCTCCAACTTATATTTCTCTTTTTGTATTCCTAGTGTTCGTTTTCCTCATTCTCTACTCCTCCTCCCACTCCAACTCCTCTTCGTCTACTTATTCTTCCTTGCCCTCCTCCTCGTCCTCCTTTTACTCTTCCTCTTCCTCCTTCAACTCTTATTACTCTTCATTTACACCTTCCTGCTCCACATCCTCTTTCTCTTCTCCTTCTCCTTCTACACCAGCCCCTCTTCATCTACTTCTTCTTCTTCCTCCTCCTCCTCCTCCTCCTCCTCTTCCTGGAAAGTCGCATCCGTCTTCTGACCATTCAGTGAGCTCACCAAAAGTGTGATTACTCATTCACCTGGACAGCTGTCGGTCTGATTAGCTCAGGTTAACAGGACCCTCCTGCAGGCTTGAGTGGAGCGTTGTGTTTAGTCAGCTTCACGAGTGTCGAGCGGTCGTAAAAATGAGCTGTCTCAATACAGTTGGCCAATTCGGCCATCCGAAGAGGTGTGCTTCCGATTTATGCCACAGCGTTGCCAGCCAAGATGGAACATCACAGCTGCCTCCAGTCTCAGCGTATAAGCTCCAAGTGCTTAATATAACCTTGCGACTGGATCGAATGGCCTAGGTCAACTGGTGGCGATCATCAACCCAGACATATTCATCAACCCTGAACCAGTACTTAGCAACCTATCTCGTGAGTTCAGCTAACTTTTGTCAACTCAACCTATCAAAGTAAAAAATGCATACAGTCTCGGAACTGTGGTTACAAACGAAAAAAGCGTGTGACAGCCTGTTTGAGCTTTATCAGAATATGTTTGCAGAGCAGTTAATGCCTTAATGGATAGCGGAATAGGCGAGCAACATAAATGTCAAATGAATGAAAATTCAGATGTATTCCAAAGACTCTTTCTAATCACTGTTGCAAAATGGAAATTGGTTTGGTCAAAATGATTATTTTAAGTAAGGTGCTGACGCTATGAAGAGTTGGGTAATTATTACTTGATGAAAATCCTCCTATCGGCCTGAGTGAAAAGGAATACATTAAAGGATCAAGATTAGCTTGGACTATATGAGAGTATAGAGTGTATAGCTTGTCGGAAAGTGGCTGTTGATATTCCCGCTAAACCAGGCAAGACTAGGGCATTATGCAATCTTAGGGGTGCGTTTACCTGGCCAGCGACAGATATTTTCATCTGCTCTAACTATGCAAGAAGAGCACGCTTAATTTTTGACAAAATTATTAATGAGCTCCCTAACTTCACTCATAAATATCAATCTATAAAATACTTTAATACACAAATAAATATATATACAATACTTTCGGTGAATTATTAATAATTAGGTCCACTCAAGTACAAATCATTGTATGCGTGCAGCTATGAATATTTACATTTTTATTTATATTGAATGAAATAGGGACAATCCTATGTATCTTCTTGGAGTACTTCTAACTTAATGCCCCTCGTAGGATAAGCGAGCACTAAATACGTCCTCATTTGAACCGAGGGTGAGCATCTTAAGGACTATGCTCCTGTAAAATCAAGTAGTAGCCGTCTTATGAATTTCTTCA